CAAACCCAGTAGACACAAAATATGTGTACTCTTTAATAAGATATTTATTTGTACACCTACTTGAATGGAAGTTTAAGACTAAGTTTTGTAACAAAAATTTGATCCTGCTCCCACAGAACTTCTGATGACACATGAGGCATCAGTTAATGATCTTATCCATCTTCCATGATAGAGGCATTACTGGAAGAATATCCCTCTGTTGCTTGAGCACATGATATAAATTTTCATCACCTAGCACCACTGCATGAGGTATATATATATATATATATATATATATATATATGTTGACCCTGTACACACTTTTGAGGGGTGTAGAGCCATAGACTCACCATACTAAGTATTGATGCAGTTGTTTCTGTAACAGGCAGATTTTTATAGGCAGGAGTTGCTAATCTGATACCAGACAAGTTTTTATTTGACCTTCTGAGAGAATGGGTGCTAACTAAGGATAGAGAGTTCAGTTATTCATGTTATAATGGGGGAGAGCTATGAAAGAAAGATTTATTCTCCCACTTGAACTTTCCCCCATTATGGGCATTATTGTATCTGTGATATAATAACACTGTATTTCACGGACAGAATGGAATGGCTGAAAAGAGGTGGAATGACAAACATGGTTTGTTCTCAGAGAGACTTTTATACTACTTAGACATACACAAAATTATATATACATATATATGTGTTGCACACTGGGAATAACATAACACATAGCAAGCAGAGTGCAAGGAGAAATAAAAAGGAAAGGTCTTACATAAAATATTGAGATAATCCTGTGTCTGGAGAAGCCATGTTTAGGATTCCAGATTCAAATAGGCTTGATTCTTCTATGACCCAGGCAAGAACATATTTCACAAAGGGAAAATGGCCAGTCTTGTTTTTTCCCAAATTGAGGACTGTGAGCTGGAGTTTCTTTCTGTATCTGGGGAAGATATATGCCCAAATAGAATCTGTACCATGGACTTGTAAGCAGCTGGGGAGGTAGATTTAGCCTATACCAAGGCCCCTTGGCCCAGCCTAAAAAAGCAATCTCTCAATTTGGCTGCTGTAAATAAACTGAAATTGACTGGCCACTATCATCACTGTATGAAGTGACATCACTAAGTGGCCTTCATGTGACCCATGTGACTTATCTTCACTCTTAACCAATTTTTTCTCTTTCATCATATTTCTGTTTTTCTCCCTTTCTCGTCATATTTCTGTTTGTTCTCCCTTTCTCGTCATATTTCTGTTTGTTCTCCCTTTCTCGTCATATTTCTGTTTGTTCTCCCTTTCTCGTCATATTTCTGTTTGTTCTCCCTTTCTCGTCATATTTCTGTTTGTTCTCCCTTTCTCGTCATATTTCTGTTTATTCTCCCTTTCTCGTCATATTTCTGTTTATTCTCCCTTTCTCGTCATATTTCTGTTTATACTCCTTCTCGTCATATTTCTGTTTATACTCCTTCTCGTCATATTTCTGTTTATTCTCCCTTTCTCGTCATATTTCTGTTTATTCTCCCTTTCTCGTCATATTTCTGTTTATTCTCCCTCTCTCGTCATATTTCTGTTTATTCTCCCTCTCTCGTCATATTTCTGTTTATTCTCCCTCTCTCGTCATATTTCTGTTTATTCTCCCTCTCTCGTCATATTTCTGTTTATTCTCCCTCTCTCGTCATATTTCTGTTTATTCTCCCTCTCTCTCTCTAATATTTCTGTTATTTCCCCTTTCTCGTCATATTTCTGTTTATTCTCCTCTCTCGTCATATTTCTGTTTTTCTTCTCCCTCTCTCGTCATATTTCTGTTTATTCTCTCTCTCTCTCTCTCGTCATATTTCTGGGTTTTCTCTCTCTCTTTCTGGGTTTTCTCTCTCTCTCTCTCGTCATATTTCTGGGTTTTCTCTCTCTCTCTCTCTCTCTCTTATTTCTGGGTTTTCTCTCTCTCTCTCTCTCTCTCTCGACATATTTCTGGGTTTTCTCTCTCTCTCTCTCTCTCTCTCTCGTCATATTTCTGGGTTTTTCTCTCTCTCTCTCTCTCTCTCTCTCTCTCATATTTCTGGGTTTTCTCTCTCTCTCTCTCTCTCGTCATATTTCTGGGTTTTCTCTCTCTCTCTCTCTCTCTCATTTCTGGGTTTTCTCTCTCTCTCTCTCTCTCGTCATTTCTGGGTTTTCTCTCTCTCTCGTCATTTCTGTTTTTTCTCTCTCTCTCGTCATTTCTGTTTTTTCTCTCTCTCATCATTTCTGTTTTTCTCTCTCACTCTCTCTCTCATCATATTTCTTTCTTTTTCTCTCTCATCATATTTCTTTTTTCACTTAGTTTTTGCTTGCTTACTTACTTTCTTTGGTTTCTGTTAAAGTTCTCTCTTTTCCCATTTTGATCTCTCTTAACATTTTTCTTTTCTTTCACTTAGCTTTTGTTTCTTTTAGTTCTTTCTTTGGTGTCCATGTTTTCTCTCTTTTCCTCCTCCTTTACTATCCTTATTGTATTTTACTTTTTCTTCTTACTTTTCATTCTTTTACTCCTTAGAATGACCTACAAACAAATAACTAATTTGTTTAAGACCCCATGATTCTTCTTTGCCTTGTTAAAGGTGAATTTTGGATGGCCTCGTCACACAAATTTTGCCAGTTTCTATGATGAACAATTTCCTTTTAAAACGTTTTATCGGTATTTTTTCTTTCTTGTTTGGCTTGTTCAATTTGCTAGAGCAAATTTTATAGTATTATGTGATTCCAAAAATCTGAACCGAAACAACCTCAGTGGTAGAAATACAAGACATTAGTTTTGGCAGAACCAAGTAAATAAAGCCATATTATAGTGGCATTGAAACTGGATATATACACATATATACCATATTTTTAATATGCTAAGATGTATTTTTTCCTTGAAAAATACCTTCAAAACTCATGTGCATCATAGCACTAAAATTTGTAGAATTCTCACAAACCCTAATCATGGCATACAAGAAATCAAGACCCCCCCCCCAGACATAAAATATAAACCTAAAATTATCATTTATATATAATAAATACCATATATCCCATTGGTATCAAACCATATATATTGTTTTTTTTTTCTTTTTAAGTATTAGTGATAACCAGTAGACAGTTTTCTATCTCAGCATGCCATATGTTAACGTTTTGAACTCCAACACCAGTCATGTAATACAGACTAACAGTTATGCTTCATATGAACACCGAGAATATCAGCCTTATGATCACACTTTGTGTACTATTGAAAAAACTATTTAGTCTAATAGAACTATTGTTAACTCTTTGTGGCTTGAGTATGCAACTACAGTGTGCTAAACTTATTGAAACTGTAATTAATAATAATCACAAATATTTAATAATAGGTCTAAAAAGTGATAATTTTTTGTGACAGAAAAAAGACACTGCAGAGTTGATGACTTGGACTTGCTTGTACGGTAATCTATTAAATCCTCAAATATTTTTCTTTTCCAAGAAATACCTAGCTAATTAATTAGGTGTATCTTACCATTTGTAACATCTTAGCATATGGTATATATAAAAATGATTAATTGATTGATTTGTTTTTTATAGCTTATCAACCCTTTTCAGTATGTTGCTAGCCAGAAAATATTTTTAATTTGAAAGAATTTTTTTAAAGTTAATAATGGTTTAGTGATAGAAAATGATATTACTAATTAAAGAAATGGTGGTTTCAAGAGTATTTGCTCATAACAAACCCAATGAGAATTAAAACTCAGCTCTCTGATTAACAATTCTGAGTCATTATCCATTACACCACACACACATCCCATATTATTAGGTGTGGGAATGAGAAAAGATTATTAAAATAACTTAACTAATGCACTAGTCATACAAGGAAATAAATTCAAACACAATTTTGATTTTTAAAAATGCTCACTCACAACAAAAATGTTTGAAAGTGACACCATTGAATATTATTGAAATATTAATCTATGCCCAGGTTTTCTCACGATATCACCTTTCCTAACAGAATTGCTACTCTCCCAAGCCAACATACACAACTATATCAGAAAATCAAAAGAAAATGGTTGAATCCATCAAAACAGCAATAAAAATAATATATCTACACGTGAAAGTACTTAATGTAATTTTTGACAATATTAAATCAATAGCATTTTCTAAATTCTTCTAGTTGCCAAGGACATTTTGTTTGTTGTTAATACTTTGTTTTCAATAAATTTCGTTTTTTTGCCTTGAAAAACTCCACATTAGACGAAACATGTTGGCTAATAATGTAGTTTTCCTATTGTCTTTTACCTTTGTACATATTGTCTTTTCTACAGTTTAACTCGGAAAAGTTTTTCATAATTAAATATCTTTTAAGCATCACATTGTCTTCAAAGGTCATGATGTATTTTCTAAAGGTAAATTCAATTCAGCAGAATGCAACAAGGCATATGGTAGCATGTCATTTTTTTTATATACATTCTGAAATGCAGGTACGTAGTATATTTCATTTATGGCTGATTGTTTCAATTGAATGTAAATATCTTCATTAATCTTGGAATTAGAATTTATAATTAATGTATTCTGGTATCATTAGAGATAAGCTCTTTATATTATTATAATTCTTGTGCTTGCTAATATAGTAATAACATATTAATAAAATGCCTATCCTGTTTAATATATATAATGGTTTTGACTTGATTTTCAGCAGTGACCTTGCTTTATCCAGCTTTGGAGATGGGCCGTGTAAATTTGAAATTTTTAACCCTGCAGGGTTTTACATCGTCTTACACAGATGTAGCAATATTGAGCCTCTTTTGCTGGAGTTGTTGAACAAAGGCTGCATAACTTGTAATGAACGATGTTTCTCTGTGAATGACATGACCACATTCATTATGTATTTGAACAAATTTTGTAGCAGCAGTGTCATAAAAGTTAATAGTATTACCCATACAGATATCTCTGTTGAGATTATCATTCCCAAAAGGATCTACCTATGTAGGTAGATCATGTTGGGCATGATAATCTCAATGATGTTCTCACTGTGCTACATCACAAAATCTGAACAAATGAGCAATAGAATTTTTTTAAGGGAAGGGCCTCTTGATCATCCGAGAAGTTTTTGACACTCTCTCAAATACAAATATCACTCTGAAGGTAATCTCTTATTATATTGGCCCATCATCAGGTCTGGATTATCCTTTACACTGCAGACTACAGCCCCTTAAGCTTTTATAAAGCATTGATTTTAATTTTCCTGATGTTATAACTTTTAAATAGTTTCATAAACTGATATAACATCAATATGACAAACTCATATGTATTTAACTTTGCAGGAAGCAAAAAGAGGAAAAGAATGTTTTAGTTTGTGTGATTGTTTCAAGTAGATAAATATTTGATTTTAGTTTAGAAAGTTGAAATTTTTTAACTTTTAATTTTCTAGATGTTATAACATCTAAATAGTTTCATAAGCACAAATGGTATCAATATTACAAACTCATATTTATTTTGTTATATTTGCTATAATGCTGATTATTTTTTACTATGATTGTTTACATTATTCATTCTGTTATCCTCATCTTCATTGCCATATTCACAATGTTTCTGCCATTGTGCGCTGTGGCCTTTTCATGATTTTGTTGAAATACGTCATAATTTGGTTTTCCATAAATAGTAAAATAGTGGTATTACTTAAAGAATATCTTTATTGATAAAAAAATATTCTAGTTTACTTAGCTTGAAATAAACTTATTGCAAATTATGTAAATATCACTAAAATATATCACCAGTAAAAAATATTCAAGACAGTGCAGTCAAGTTAGAGGGTGGTTCCATCTCAGGGATCCCAATAATTTCATTAGCCTAAAGACTCCAAGCGGTCATAATCCATCCCTACCTATGATATCCAACAGTAGATTAATCATAATGTCAATAAGCAATAATTGGTTTTGCTTTGATTACAACTGGCTGGTTTTCTTGCATAATTGTGTTTTACAGGAAAGTATGTCTGAAGCAGGAGTATGCTATTGCAGTTTTTCATATGAAACAATTTACATGGATCCGTTGACATTCACTAACACTTGCTGAATGTTTATGGAGACCAAACAGTAAACATGAACACAGGCAGTGGTTAATGTGTTTCAGAAGTGGTGAGAACAGTGGTGTGTTTGACATGCAAAATTTTTAAGTGTAGCATGCACGTGGATATTTATGACTGGCAAAACTGAATAGCTAATGGTGGTGAGTATATAAAAAAAAAAAAATGTAGGATTTAAAATTGGCTTTGCTGGATGGCGGTGTTCTGCTCTCATTTTGTGTAGTTGTGTACAAAAGAAAATGATGAGTTGTCAGTCAAAACCATATTGCATGTTGTTATTGCAAAAATAAAGAAAAAAAAACACAAGACAAAGCCAGTATTAAAGTTTGGGAAACATGCAAATCCTGCCCAGTCATAAGCATCATGAGTCAAGTAGACTGCTTTATAAACTCCTGTAAAGCAAGCAAGATCAGTCTACTCTAATATTCAACACATAGTTTTGAGAAGATATGAATTGGTGTCTTTTGCAAGAGCATTAGGATGAAAATGAATGTAATATCCTCTTATACTAAATGTTGCTAATATAAAATATAGTTATGAGCTTGACATGCTGATTATATTTTCTGTGCTAATAACCATCACACTTCCCAGAAATTAAAGTAGATACAGGGTACAAAATAGAAATTAAAGGTTGATTTTTCAACAGAACTAAAAAGCAACTCAATTTTGATTTTACATACAGACATGTTGCTAGTATAAAGTGATATTTAATGAGCTAGTTTCACTAGATGATTTGAGAGAACTGAAACTTTAATTTTCATATGGTATTCCTTTCTGGTGTTTCTGCTCCAGATTAAACTAAATTTAGGATATATCTATTTGGGACACTGTTAATAATGACTTCTATTGAAGAATAGGATTGTATCTATTAGGTTGAAACAAAGAATTTCGTTTTTGTTTTAATAATTTTATTCTTCAAAAAATAAAATAGTTAACATTTTATTCAATTATATCTTCACATTTATTTGCAATGAGTTATTGCCACATATCAGAAAGCTGTTTCATACATTTTGAATAAAATTCCACAATTTCTGATGTGAAAATTCTAGTTTCCCCATCATTGTGTTTGGCTGCTAATGAAAAATGCAATAGGTTGATGGAAGGTCAGCTGAATATGCCGGATAGAATAGAACAGATCAGCTGAACTCTAAATCTTTTTCTGTCTTATTTTTGCTATATACAGCCTTGTGATTTCATGGAAGACAACATTCTGCTTTAAAACATCATGTATGCTGCCATTGCAAAAATTAAAGTATTAATTCTTAACTGTTGTGCATTGTGGCACCTTGCATTATTAGAAATATTCATAGAAATATGATTTAATTTTTTCTTACTCGGTTACTAAACAGGTTGTTAATTTTTTTTTTTTTTTAAACGGAAAATAACTGAGTTGAAAATAATTCACTAAGAGTGTACTAGACGATCCTAAGGAAAGAAGAAGGAAAGAAAGGAAAAAAAAAAGGAAGGGA